TTTGTGCTCTTCGAGAGTCTGTTTCTCCAGTCCTGCATATGTTCTGGCGGCTCTGTGGTGGGGTTGATGCTGCCCTCCTCCAAGAGGGCTGATGCCACACCCAGGTCTGCTGCACCCAGAGACCCTGCCCCTGGAGCAGTCCACTGCTGACCCGGACCCCCTGTGAGGAGACACTCAAACACGGTTCTGGCTCAGTCTCCGTGGGGTCTCTGGGTCCTGGAAGGCACATGGATTGTTTGAGCCTACGAGCGTCTCTGGCAGGTATGGGGTTTGATTCTAAATGCGATTTCACCCCTCCTACCATCTTGCTGGGGCGTCTCCTTTTCCCTTGGATGTGGGGTATCTTTTTCTTTGGTGAGATACAACTTTCTCCTGTCAACGGTTGTTCAGCAGCGAGTTGTAATTTTGGAGTTCTTGCAGGAGAAGCTGAGCACATGTCCTTCTACTCCACCATTATAGGTAATGTTACTGCTTTTTAATATGCTGTCTAGGTTGGTCATAACTTTTCTTCCAGGGAGCAAGCGTCTTTTAATTTCATGGCTACAGTCAACATCTGCAGTGATTTTGGAGACCCCCAAAATAAAATAACATCAATATGTGTATAGTTTCTTCATGATTGGTATCAGTTGGATTTCATGTGATGATTGGGTTTTTCCATATTAATATTGGCATCACATATATATAAGTCATACAATTATACATATATAATGTGTGCATATATATATATATATATGTATACACACACACACATAAATCCATATATGTACATATGATACTTCAGTATATTTTACCTATTTATGCCAGGTCTTCCTTTCAGTTTTTCTTAAGAGAGTCACAGTTTAATTTGTTCAGTTGCCTATCTGTGTATCCACTTATCAAGTCCAGCATTTCCAGACCAACTGTGAAGACTGAAATCCAAAGTCCAACTGCCTACACTCTGCTATACAAATGGGAGAACTTTAACATTGCCCTTGACCTCCGTTAGTACCAAGTAAGCAATGGATACATTCATTACTGGTGCCTTTGACTTTGGCCAACTGCAGCCCATTTGGAGGTCACATCTATGTAGGATCTCAAATATTTATTCTGCCACATGTCACTTAGGTCTAGTATTCCTTTTCCAGCTCTTGGGCCAAATCTCTGAGCTTTGACTCAACCCTTGGAACATTCTCTATCTAGGATGGTTGATGTTTCACATTGTAAACATTTCAAACACCTTGGGGAGCTGACCTGCGTGCTCTGCCCGTGACGGTGGGAATGTCCAGTCGTTAGAAATCCTAGCATCCTCTGCTGTTTGCAAAATACGAGGCCTGAAGACCATCTTTTGATTCTGTGAACAGTTACAACTTCCTGACTGAGCTGTCAATCATCCTGTTCCTGCAAACATCACACTGATTTCATGATCCAATGATCTGACCCAGGGTTCACTGGTGGTTCAGTCAGGAAAGAATCTTTGCAGGAGACTCAGGATTGATCCCTGTGTCAGGATTTTCCCCTGGAGAAGGGAGTGGCAACCCAGTCCAGTAGTCTTGACTAGAGAATCCCATGGACAGAGGAGCACAGTGGGATACAGTCCATGGACCCACAGAGAATGTCATGACTGAGGTTAAATCATTACACAGCTACACTTCAACTTTCATTCCTGGAGACCCAGTCGTTAAGAAACATCAGTCCTTCAGTTCACTCACACACGTCTTGGTGCTGTCAGAAAATGCATGTTTCCTCAGTTGTGGCCCACAGCATCTTATCCGTTCTCTCTATGAGGCTCAGAGAGTGGAACACAAGCTCCTTTCCTGGTAATGAATATGATGCTTTCCTGGGACATCCATCTTGACCAGACTGCCCCACCCCCTACAGTAAGAGGATCCATAACATTTTCCCCTGTCCCGTGATGGTTTCGTCCTCTTTCTCCTTCTCCTCTGGACCCTTCTAGGAAGTCTCCTTTCATTCTGTCTCAGAAACCTTCTGATGGAACACTGATCCTATTACAGGCACAGGTTTCTGAATAATTAAGTTGAATCTGCATAACCACCTGAACTGCCTCTTGACCTGTAAGCTGGTCAGGAAGCAACAATTAGAAATGGACATGGAAAAACAGACTGGTTCCAAATAGGAAAAGGATTACGTCAAAGCTGTATATTGTCACTCTGCTTATTTAACTTATATAAAGAGTACATCATAAGAAACGCTGGGCTGGATGAAGCACAAGCTGGAATCAAGGTTGCCAGGAGAAATATCAATAACCTGATATGCAGATGAAAACAACCTTATGGCAGAAAGTGAAGAACTAAAGAGCTTCTTGATGAAAGTGAAAGACGAGAGTGAAAATTTTGGCTTAAAATTCAATATTCAGAAAACTAAGATCATGACATCTGGCCCCATCACTTCCTGGCTAATAGATGGGGAAACAGTGGAAACAGTAGCTGACTTTATTTTGGGTATCTCCAAAATCACTGTAGATGGTGACTGCAGCCATGAAGTAAAAAGATTCCATGCTCCTTGGAAGGAAAGTTACGACCAACCTATTAAACTGCATATTAATAAGATATTAATAAGCAGAGATATTACTTTGCAAACAAAGGTCCATCTAGTCAAGGCTATGGTTTTTCCAGTAGTCATGTATGGGTGTGAGAGTTGGACTGTGAGGAAAGCTGAGTGCCCCAAAACTAATGCTTTTGAACTGTGGTGTTGGAGAAGACTCTTGAGAGTCCCTTGGACTGCAAGGAGATCCAACCAGTCCATCCTAAAAGAGATCAGTCCTGAGTGTTCATTGGAAGGACTGATGTTGAAGCTGAAACTCCAGTACTTTGGCCACCTGATGCAAGGAGCTGACTCATTGGAAAAGACCCTGATGCTGGGAAAGGTTGAGGGCAGGAGGAGAAGGGGACAACAGAGGATGAGATGGTTGGATGGCATCACCGATTCAAGGGACATGCATTTGGGTAAACTCTGGGAGTTGGTGATGGACAGGGAGTCCTGGCATGCTGCAATTCATGGGGTCGCAAAGAGTCAGACACGATTGAGTGACTGAACTGAGCGAATTGTGTGTTTTAAAGTGGAAACATTCAGCACAGATACATGTAACTCAGCTGCATAATTAAGCAATTTATTTAAACAGTCAGAAGGCAAATCCACCACCCAGGATGTGATTAATGACCAGGAGAGATGAGATAGGAGAAGGAGTGTGAGTGTGAAGAGAGAAGGATGGTGTTAATCAGGAACCAGGAAAGTCGTCGTGTTGTTGATCTCAATTCCATGGAGATGAGGTCATGTCTGGTCTCAGTGACTGTTTCTGTAGGTGAATAAAACAGAACCAATGGTTTAGGAGAGTTGACTTTGACGGCTGACCGGGGTGAGGCTCAGGCAGTAAGCTGTTCAGGGTACAGGAGCTGGTAGGTGATCCAATGTCAGAATCCTAGTGAACCTTAACTACTCCACATCTCTGTGATGTTTGAGTCCATGTGGAATTTCAACACGATGTGCTTACGGGGTGATCGTTCCCATCTGGGGTCGACTCTAGGAGCTATGATTTCAGAATGCATGTTCAGATCTGTGATTGGAGCATATGTCTCTAATTCCACAAGTTTTGTCTTTAGGGTCTTTGAAAATCAATTTTTTAGTTTTTATTTTTTAATGGAGTATAGTTCATCTACAATATTGTACTAGTGCGCATACAGCAAAGTGAATAGTTTGTACGAATGCAGCGTGCAATTCCTATGTACATACATTAGTATCAGTTCTTATTCAGATACCTTTCCTACTTAGGATTTTGCAGAGTCTTGCATGTATTTCCCTGTGCTATACATTTAGACAGTTTCATCCTTCCATCCTGTGTATTCCAGTTTGAATCTGCTAATCCCAGACTCACAATCCTTCTCTTCCCCAGCCTTCTTCCCCTTGGCAATCACAAGTCTCTTCTCTATGTCTGTGAGTCTCTTTCTGCGTTGTAAATAAGTATCTCAGTGTCATATTTTAGATTCCACATATAAGTGATATCATATGATATTTACCTTTCTCTTTCAACTTACTTCATTTCGCATGACAGGCTCTACACCCATCCATGTTGGTGCAAATGCTAGTTTTCATTTCTTTTTATGAGTGAGCAATATTCCATTGAATACACACAGCGCATCTTTCTTCTCATACTCACCTGGAAGCTCATTTTTTTTCTCTTTGTCTTTCATTTTTTTGTCCAGGAGAATATTAAAACAAACTAAGAAGTTGTCTTAGCTTAGAAAGTTTAAAGACATCAATTTAAATGTCTTCTTTTGAGAGGGAATATAAAAATGCATGTTTCAAACAGTGTGGCTGGAAGGCCTTTACTGGTTCTGTCAGAATCATGTGAGATTAAACACTGGTTTGCAGAAATCCTCAGCTCTCTTTAATCCCGTCCCCCTGGAGGAGGGTTGTGTGTGGACAACCACGAGGTCAGGTCTGACGGGAACACTAACTAGTTTCTACCACCTTATGGGGTTTCCTGCTTCTGTCTGATGATTCTGGGCTGCAAGATTCCTGCGGGATAAGCCTCTCTCCCCAAAGCTGCTCAGCAGTAATCAACCAAAAAGTTGAAATCTAGTGTGGCTCAAGAGAAGAGAAACTACCTAATGTAACAGAAAGACGTCCCAAGCAATTCGATGTGAGTTATTGGGACAAAAATTGTTACCGGCAAAATTTAACATGTATGAAATTACCACGTGTCCTTATTGATTTATTTAATGGAACATTAATCAGGGGCTAGCTTCACTTACACTCAGGTTTGCTTGGAGCTCATTTTCCACAGCGAGGACAGTCATCTGGGGGGAAGATCAAAAGGACAGGAGAGAAACATCCACTGATTGCAACCATTCCCCAGTAATTCCAAGGCTTTTTTTTTAAAAGTAAGCGATTACGTAAGGCATTATGTATGGAGATAGGAATTTTAACTATACTGATTTGTTTCTTGGTTATATATTTACATATCAAGTGAACAATATCTTTAGGCAAAAGTATAATTCCCTTACCACTTTCGATGATCTTCAAAATACATTTCTCTTCAATCCCTTTGGCTTTTACCAGCGCATAGAACGTGTCCAAGGCTTCCACTTCAATATTAACTTTAACTGAAAAAGACCACACAGAAAGCAGAATTTTGCCCCTTAGAACCCAGAGCAGTTTCTGAATACAGAGCAAGAAGCTGAGTGCGCAATCCCTTTTCCACTTGTTAAAAATTAAGCCTCAGAAGTAACCATTTCCCATGACTCATATGTCTGCTGTCTGTCTTAAGAATCGTTCCCCATCCAGCTCTGTAACTAGATTCCCCGCCAGCATCAGCAGCAGGACCCCAAAGACTCATAGGGACTCCATGAAGTTGGGGTCCCTACATCACAGTATAGAACCTGCTTGCTTTTTTACCAACTTCCTAGAAACTGGAACTGCCACTCAGGCCTTGCTCTGATCCAGATACATAGGAAACAAGTTCTGCCCTGAGAGAGACACGTTCACCCCATCACACGTAGTCATTGGTGGTGATCTATTCTTTAATTAGCCCAATGTTCTCCGGTAACTTTCCTGAAATACACAAATGTTGTTCCAACTGTACACACACCTCTCAGGGCTTCTGTGTGGGTATTTGGGCTGAAATCAGTGTTAATAAGAACAATGCAGTTGGAAAATTGAACAGGACAAAGATTTATTATGAAAGTTTCTGCTCCAAGGTTTAGAGTGCACTGGGAAACTGGTATCAAATGAAAAAATTGAGAGTACCTCATTATATCCATGAGTGGAAATTAATTGAAGTTTAAAAAAAAAATAACAACCAACACAATATATTGGTTTTCTTCCAGTTAAATTTCTTTTTAAATTTAAGAAGTGTAAATAATAATTTAAAAATAATTTTTTAAAAAAACTTAAGAAAAAATTGCTAGAAATATCTAGCAAAACTCTGTTTTTTAATTGTTTTCAGTTTCAGCAGATCAAAGCTATTTAGAAATATCTGAATATCTCTTGGCCCCCTCCCCCAGGAGCTAGTCTTTGTTCATAGATGATGTTCCAGTGTCCTGACCTCAGTGAAACAGAAGAGGCAGGCCCTGTAGACCGTGTAAAGGATGTGCTCAGCACACACCGATCTTATGGATAAAAGTGCTGACATTGTTCATGTCACATAACCATGTCTGTGTGAAAATGGAGGAGCATACATACCCAATATTGCAGCCAGCTCTGTCACATTGCCTTCTGCATCAGTGTTGGAGTATACTACCAGAACATTGCCCAATGAATATTTAACTGTAAACTCCGTGGTACCCTCATCTGTGACAGAGAGAAAGGTACATATATACAGCCCTGCCTTAACATATTGTCAGAGGGCCTTCTTGTGGCAAAGTGAGGGTATTAGCAAGGGGACATGCTGTGTTGATCTGTGCTCACTCCTTGGGTCTGTGGATGCTACAGTTGTTCGGACGCAAAAGATAGCAGCAAGACTGTTTTATTCCCACCTTCTCATACAGTTGACCTGATAGGGTTCAACTGCAGTCAAATATGTGCCCCTTCCTTGGAGAAGGGAAAGGCTACCCGCTCCAGCATTCTTGCCTGGGGAATCCCATAGACTGTATAGTCCATGGAGTCACAAACAGTCAGACGCAACTGAACGACTTTCACTATGTACTCCTTAGCCATGTAAAATCAGAATTGATGTTTAGGGCCATGACAAAGAACTTACAGATGTAAATCTTAGCAGAATACCCGTTGCTTTCAACAGAAGCTGCCTCTGATGGAACTCAGGGTGATTTCCTTGGGTTCAAGTTCTTCCGCAATTCATTGAATGAATTAAGATATTTTTAGATTGTAAGAAGTGAATGACAGGGACCTGAAAACTCAAGATAGACCCTTTACAGGTCAGTTTGTAAGGCTGCTGTAAATTGTCTATGAGAACCGTATGAAATACTGGTCTACACGTTGTCTCATTAACACTCACTCATGGATGGCCTATCCACACGTTAAACCTGAGCAGTAGTTCCAAATAAACTGCAAGCACAAAGCAAGTCATGTTTTAAGCCAGATAACCATGGAGGAATCTAGGATTTTATGAAAAAAAACAAAAAGAATACAGATTGAAAAAAAAAATAATCCTTAGAAACAGAGAGTTATAGCCATCATGACAGACGTGGTGGGTTTTCACAAACCTGGCAATGATTCATTGGATAATATAATAGGAAAAAAATCACAAAAAAAATAGAGAAAGAAAGGTTCAATCTTATCAAAGCACACACTCTTCTTCCATCACATCATAAAATAAGAGGATTAAACACTGAAAGAAACATGTATGCACAATCAAACACACACACAAGCAGACACAGAAGTACATATGACATGCTTATATGACATAAAGAAACTGTATGTATATATAATATTTGGTGGTGATAGTGGTAAAGACCTGCCTGCCAGAGCAGAAGAGGTAGGTCGTGTGTTTGATCCCTGGGCCAGGAAGATCCCCTGGAGGAGGAGGAAATGGCAACCCACTCCACGAGTCTTGCCTGGATGATCCCATGGACAGAGGAGACTGGTGGGCTACAGTCCATGGGGTTGCAAAGAGTCAAACACAAGTGAAGCGACTTAGCATGCATGCACCATTGTCAAACATATAACAAATGACTTAACAGACTGCATATTTATCAGGTGTGAAAAAAGCTATATATGCCATATAGGAAGCAGGCACACAAAACATATATTAGGAGGGAAGAAACCCAACAAGAGTTGGATTAATTTTGGAATAGACACCTCGGAAAACATTATCCACAATGAATTAATTTCACTGTTATTAATCATTAGGAGAATGAGGTTATTTAAAACATTAAACAACTGGAAACAAAACCATTTTCCGATAACTGCAAGGTATACAAAATTTAATCTAGCCAAAGTGATATATCCAAGTGAATATCTTTTCACTTGACTTGAAAAATGTGACTCCCTGCATAGGCAGATACCAAGATCAATTTTTAAACCATTCTGCTGAGTGATAGAAACTGGGAAATGAGGCAGGGCTTATAATCTTGTCGTTTGAAATTCTAGAAGAGGAGAGAATAAGTAGATCCCTTGTTACCTGTGTCTCAAGGGGCAGGTGTTAATGCCGAGGAGGAGATTTCAGCAGAGAGGGAGGAAATTTATATCTGGACTGTGGAGGTCATGAAAAGGGTGTGTGCCTGTCAAAACACATTGAACTCTGCCCTCCACAAAGGTGCATATAATTACATATACACACACTTCAGTAAAGCTGATTTGAGAATGAAAACCACATGATTATTCACAACATAGAACTCAAAATACAAAAATGGCAAAAGCAAAGATAACAGGATATCCTTTAAAAAGTTAGTGAAAACAGACAAGTATATCTCCTGGGATAGGATATATACATGTGTGTGTGTGTGTGTGTGTGTGTGTGTGTGTGTGTGTATCTGTACGTGTACTTGCAACTGATGGTATGCATACTGTTAAATATATGCATGCCAGATATATAATATATGAACATTTATATGTTTATACATCTGTAAACCAAGTCTCGAAGCATAAACTTCATAGCTGTTTTTTTCTTCATGTTTTTACTCTTCCATATACATCCCTGAGTTTGCATGCTCTTCGTAAACCGTCTGGAGTGTAGTGGACATTCCCCAAGTGGCTAACTGGTGCTCTGAGGCTCTAGTAAACTCAGTGGTGATGAAACCTCCCGTGAGGAAGCCCCGAGGGCAGAGCTCACTCGTGCTCTCCCGACCCCGCCCTCGGCTTCTTTGCTCAGTGGGAACCGTCTCTGACAGATTCCACAGGAATGGGTCAAGCCCCTGGTGGGGTCCGTGGGTTCCAGGACATTCCCTGGAGGCTCCCAGGGAAATGCCCCCCACCCCAACTCAGAGACCCGGCTCAGCCCCACAGCTCAGGGCGTCCTGCTCTCAGCACCAGCCAGAGCGCTCCCTGCAGATGGGGAGACACTCCCTCCCTCAGGCTCAGGGTTTATAGCTGGTTTCCTTCTGGGTGATTTTTACTTACTCAATGCAAAAGTCAAAGATGATGGTGTCCTCTGTCTCACCGGTCTCAATTTTAAGGAACTTAACCCTGAACGGTCCATTCTCAGCGATCTTCTCTGGGTTAGTGGAGGCAATAGACACAGTTATCCATTTGCCTGTAAGCTAGGAGCAAAATTCTCCTTAGAAGTGTTCGTCCTTGTCTTTTTCTTTCACCCAGCATTATCCCACCTGAGTTTCCCAGCCCACATCCAACATTTCAGGTCAGGAAGGTTTATTTTCCTGTCCTAGCCTGAGATCCAAAATGGGAGAAACTGTCCAGGACACACCTCCCCCACTCTTGTGTTGTTTTTCCAACACTGAGGAGGTGGATTATATTTTATTTTCTAGAAGAAAAATTAAGTGTGTGGGTTCACATAGTTGAACAACTTCCAAGAGAACCTTGGAAAGCCTCCCATTTCTCTGAGGTGAGGATCATAGCACACAGCATTCATCATTTCCACCTGCCTCACGGCAGGCTCTGTCCTCCTCATAACTAAAAGGAGCATCTGTTCTGGGTCCCTTCACCTCGGGTAAAGAAGGCAGGTCAGCAGTGTGGTTCCACCTCCCCCTTTCCAGACGCCCTTTGTCCATCAAATCTCTGATATCTCATTTATTCATTGACTCAGTTGTCTCAGGAAAACAAGAAAGCAAGACCATAGTTCTTATAATTTCCAGAATTTTGAAGGAAAAAAATAAACAATTACCTAACTCTGTACATCTAGTTATTATCAAGGTCAGTGACACAGCCAAAGAATCTCTTCTTTATACTTCCTCTCAACCAGGGCAGTTAGTTCCAGAACCAAGGATGGAAGCCATGCCCCCTACAGTGCCAAGGCAAAGTCTAAGCCACTGGACCAGCAGGGTCGTCCTGGTGCAGAAAATTTCAAGCAGGAGTGAGATCCCAGCTAACACACCTTAACCCCCTGTCACAACACTTACATCTTTCCTTACACACCTCCAGCATCCCCGGGCTTTCCTTTCAGATTCTTAAGCAACATGTGTCTCCAGGGAATGTGTCCTAGGACCATTGCATCTCACGAAGGCCTTTCTAACTGCCGATCAAGGGGGGATTAAACATAGTTACTCTAAGAGATGATTGTGACATGTCGTGACAGTTCTGTTATTTGTAACTGAAGGAATTCATGGGACCTTTATTCTAAATTCTCTGTTCATCAATATTGCCTGAAATGTAGGTAACAAGTTGGTAAATAAAACAGAATGGTCTTACTCAAACAGTACCATTGTAACCCCTCTTCCAAAATAATGCTAGCCCATACTTGGAATGTCTTCCTGGCGTCTCTTTCTCTGGTTTGTCCAGATTTCTGTGACTATGAAGCCTCTCTTTCCTAGAAGATTGATAGGGTCTTCCTTCTCTCCTTTCTCTGAGATCATTGTTTTTATTTCTTAGATTGCATAACTCCTATCCAAACACTGCAAGGTAACTTTTGACCTTGGCCACCAAAAATACCCAGTTCCCTCAAGGATTCATGACGAACATCCAGTGGACCTACGTTGTACATTTCACATAGCTCCCAAGGGTCCCTCATTTGTCTGAAATTTCCGTGACCTTCCTAATAGTTGTGGAAAGTTTTAGGTTTGCAGGTTGACGTGGACGGGAGGAATTTTCCTAGAAAGGGCAGAGAGGACAGGTCCCATAGAGAAAGGGTCCATTGTGTTTCAACACTGTGCACCTTTTCTTCTATGTTCTAGTGCTGGTTTTATGGGTCAGTGTCTGTTTTCTTTTCATCGAACATGTTAGTTTTACTGAATGGTAGACACCTAATTCCTTTCTAGGTATTTCAGTCCATCAATACCTGGATGTAGCCCTTGATCAAAGCGTTTCACTATCAATTAAACAGGAATTGAATTTTCCCACCCCTCCACAGGACACTAATATTGGGTGAGTGTTAGATGATGCCACATTGGAAACCAAAAACAACATCAACAGTGGAAAACCCCAGACTAGTACTTCTCACGACGTGTGCACCACAGGAGAGAAAAGTTCCCTTCTCTGCAGCTTGCTTTGAATTCTCCTTTATCTGACAGTAAAATACTAGAAAATAAGTTCCATACAATGTCCACTAAACTAACTCTGTGTGGTTCATAAAGAATGTGTGCTCTGTAAGATTATTCATGTGCACGCTTTGGCCTGAATTCAGCAAATATAGATTTAATGCCAACAAGGGCCTAAGCCTCAGAATTCAGCAGGAAGCAGAAAGACTCAGTACGTCATCCAGAGAACAGTCTTCCTATGAA